GAACAGTTGGAGCAAGGGCTGGAGGGGGGAGGCAGCATGTCTGGCCTGGCAGGAATAGGCCTTGGGTTACTGCTGGTAATCCTGTCTTCCTCTTGTAGGGTTAGAGGAGGTCAGAACATGTGGCCTCCTTGCCGTTTTTGCAGGTCTGTATCCTGGTCCCTTGTTTCTCCTGTTTAACTTGTTTCTTTGTGTGGACTGTGATGCTCTGTTGTCTCCAAGGCATTGTGACATTTTTGTGTTTATGTTTAATTGGTGATTGTATGTTGGATTGACTTGCTCACGATTTTCGTTTTCTTTGTTTTGTTTGTATGTTAGCTACACAAACAGGGTACTATGCTGTGCTCCTCCATTCACTAGTTGACAGCACTTATACCCTCACCACCTGTCTCCTTTCCTGATGTCAGCCTCTTGTATGTCTCAGTGGACCTTGGCAAACAGAGCCTATTGTTAGGTCCCTGGAATCTGAATGAGAATGCGATCACTTTAAAATCCAAAATGGTTGCCACTTGTAAAGATTCAAAATGGCTGCACCCTCGGTCACTTTAAATATCCAAAATGGCTGCTGCGTGTAAACAATCAAAATGGCTGCACCCTCTGGATAGCGGAAAGTCAACAGCTCAGGTTGTCTCCTTCCTTGCTGTTTCCCTTCCTAGTCATAGGCCACCGGCGCAGTCATCCCTGCAGCCCTTGGAAGTCCTGCTTGTGTTTTTAATTAAATCTTTGATGATATCTCTGATTGCTGTTTAGGATAAATTCTAGGGAACTGAGAAAAAAGATATATTCTATTTTAAGACTTCTGTCATGCCTTAAAGGAGCTCTGGTGGTGTAGTGGGTAAGGCATTTGGCTGCTAACCAGAAAGTTGGTGGTTAAACCTCACCAGCTGCCTCCGTGGAAGGAAGATGAGGTGATCTATTTCCATGAAGATTTACAACCTTGGAAACCCGATGGAGGTCTCCATGAGTCAGAATTGACTCAATGGCAGTGGGTTTGATCATGCGTTAATTAACAAATGCCTCACAGAAATGGCCCAGTTTTCACTCTCACCAACTGTGAGTGCGGTTTCTGACACTTGCCAACACAGGATATTGTCAAAATTTGTTTCTCCCATTTGATGACAGACAGTAACTAGTTTTAATTTCTTTTTTTTTTTTTTTTTGTATATTAATAAATGCGGTTCAAATTTTTTATATGTTTATTGAACATTTTTTTCTTACATGAATTTCCTTTTCATTGTTCATCTATTACTTTTTAATTTGTAAAACCTTTTATATATTTTTTCCCATTTATACTGTGACTTTTAATTTAATGGAGTTTCATTTAAGTGATAGTAATTAGTGGAATAAATGTTGATCATTTTAATCTTTCCTGTAGAATATTTATTACACTGAAGAAAGTTTGATTTGCTAAAAGTTGTCGGTTACTCAAATATTTCATTTTCTTCTGGAATCTTCACTCAGTTATCATCCCAGTTGAGTTACATTAGACACACAATGTTTTTGCATCTCAGTTTGCCGTTCAAAGATTAGATTAATACTCTGTTAGAAGGCATTAGGATGCAAGTAACAGAAAACCTACCCAAAATGAATAAGGATGGCATTAACTGACATAATATAATGTTGTTGTTGTTATATGCCAGTCAGCCCCGACTCATAGTGACCCCTCCTTGGGTTTCCGAGGCGGTATCACTACAGAAGTAGGATTGCCCAACCTTCCTTCTACCAAAATGAGAACTTCTACCAAGTTGGTTAGTTAGTAGTTTCACTGGCTCTGGGATCCTTTTCTTGGCTTTCTCCTGCCTGTTTCCAAGATAGATGCAGAAATGAATTAAATATTCCTTCTTTCACAGCATACTTAATGGTTCAGGCAATGCTCCTTCTTGTTTTTTCAGTCTTCTCCTTTATTCCTAAATTTTACTGTTCTCCTTCCTTCTGTCTTAGAAGTATTTACTCTGGTATGTTC